TCTCGGTCCTACGTGATTCCCACTGCAAAGCTGTTTATCATCTCTGACTGTTTTGGGGCGTCATCTGTCCGTTAGGTGCATAACTTGCAATAATTATTTTTTCGTGAAAGCAACAATTGTTGGACATGTTATTCCAAAATATTAAATGTCCTAAATAGGTGAGCTGTAATTCACGGCTGTTAACATAATCCATTTGTTCGTTCACGAACCTCTTCAAGAGACTCATAACAAATGCCATGTGAAACGCTAGAATTTGGGTGATTTCATAGAGTCTGATTCGGCTTTCTTGAGAGCTGAACTTTCACACAGGCAAGACACTTTCTTTCGCATCGATGTGTCATGAAACGTCTTATATAATGACTTTGTCATATTTAAATCAAACGAACCAGTAGTAATCTTCTACCTCACAATCGTGAACAACTTCCTATTGAACAGTCGAGATTTTTGTTCAAACTGGAGTCAAAGCAGGCGAAAGAGTTCATTTATTGTAACTCAATACTGTCCACTAAATTTGTGCTTGATGATACATTGTGATTGTCTTTTTCTTTAAAGAGAAGGAACCATCATTCCATAAGTCCTTCAAATCCAGTTCAACGTATTTCCAAGATTGTAATTTCACCCCCAGCATCCATTAGAGGCGTTTACTCTTTATCACATTGAACTTAAGACGGTAGCGTAGGTCACAGATGATGACGATACACCCATAGCGTGTTAGTGATAGCGCAACAGGCGTAGTCTGCCCAATGAAGTTATTCAATTTAACCGATTACCTTATTGAAACCGTTGGTTCATGCCTAGAGCGCTTATGGCATCAGTTCTTCGACCGGTATATTTAACACAATAAATAAAAACGAGATATATATATCCAAAACGGTTAGATTTAGGATTAATTTTTCATCATTTTCCCAATATAGTCTTTATCACTGTTCATACGCAGTTTTGCAAACTCACATAGAGCATTTGGCATATCGAAAACGTTTCTGCTTTGTGATGTCTGCTGCACTTGAAGCGTTTTGATATTTTTACAATATGACATTAATTACTCCATCGCCAAGGCAACGAAACTTCTCAAATAGCAACTCTGTCCTGATCCTCTTCATTCACTAGCCGATGACTGCTGTGTTTCAGTTCCCACATGATCAGTTTTAATCCTGGATGATGAAGACTATAGTTAGAGTTCATTTTTTTTGTGTTGGGGGGAGGCGGAGGCAGACGCATCAGACATAGCTTCCAACATTCCTGATCCATTTTCGGATTCTAATCTTTGGCAGAAGACAATTGAAGTCTGGAACAGAACTCCTTTCATGTATTTGCACCAGGATAAACTTGGTCATCCCGTTGGCTTTCTGTTGGTCGGTTTCGCGAGAAACAGTTGTTTCGTTGATTTTTTCCGTAGTTAATTAATTTTGTATTTAACCTGACATTTTTTAGTTCCACCTGTCAGCTTTCATCTTGGGACTCCTATTTATGATAACGGAGGTGATTTATTCGACCTTCTCCTTTGGATTTGGAACACTCG